ACATTTGATTAACATAGAAAACGACTGGATAAGTTCTTCTGCACTTGCTACTTTTGGTTTTGTACGTCTTTTTAAGCGGTTCAAGTTTCGTTTCGGGTTTCGACAAGTATATATAAATAGAATATTGAATAAATTATTTATGAACCATCTATTTATATTTTTAATTAAATTAAATAAATGAATATAAATAATAAATTTATGTTCATTTAATAAATAAACAAATTTAAAAAATATTGTATTTAAAAGCTAGTTTATTAATTCATAATCAATTCTATTTTTTATTTTTTAAATATTAGTAAAGTTAAGGATTAAATTGTACATATTATAAATTATGAAGTTCAAACCCAAGCCACAATCAGACGGATCTATTTTTAGTCTAAAGCCCAAACCAGACGGTCCACAATCTAACTCGAGTATCCTACTACTTCACCACCTCCACTTTGCTTCGCCTACTCCAATTCCCTTCTTTCACCTCCGTCAAGAAACAAGCCAATACAAATTCCACTCTCCCCCCCCCCCAACCCCACAGAAAAAAAAAGCCATGGCAGTGAAAAATTCCGCATCAGTTCATGGCAAACGTTCGAGGAGAAAAGCTGATGCTTCATCTTCCCTGATCCCCAAACTTGTGAAAAACCCAAAAACAACAATGGCTTTAGCTTTACTCATCATTGACTCCCTCCTCGTTTCCTTCATCATCGCCTACGTCCCTTGTAAGATCCCGAAAATCCCACTCTCTTACTGTTATTTCCCGCTCTCTTCCACGTATAATTGAGCTCATGTTTTTTAATTTTCAGATACAAAGATAGATTGGGACGCTTACATTTCTCAGGTGTAGTATTTTTATCCTAATCAAGCTAATTTCCTTCCTGGGTTCACTCGTCTGTCTGTTTTTATTCAATGGGAATAATGTAGAATTAGTGTTTATCAAGATGACAGGTTAGTGGGTTTCTTGGAGGTGAAAGGGATTACAAGAACCTGAAAGGGGACACTGGGCCGCTTGTCTACTCAGCCGGTTTCCTTTATGTTTACTCTGCTATTTAGTATGTTACTGGAGGACAAGTTTTTCCTTCTCAGGTGATCTTTGTAGCTAGGCAAACTGAATTTTCTTGTCTATGACATTTGCTTATGTAAACCAGCTATGTATGCTTACAATTTTGTTTTTGTCGTTGGTTGCAGATTTTGTTTGGGATTTTATACACCATAAACCTGGGAATTGTCTTATTAATCTATGTAAAGACTGACGTGGTATGGAATTTAGTTTTGTTTATGGTTCAAGCACTAATATCATGTAAAAATCATAAAGCTGAGAAATAGATGTCTTTAACTGAGTGCTCTCAATGATGGAAACTTGTATACTTGAGAATTGGGATCACTTGATTTCAGTTATGATTCTCTGATACCATTTTCACACTTAAGCGCTGCTAAAGTTTGTATATTTTCTCGTCAGAAACGATCATATCTCTGGAAAAGGAAACTGTTCTTTGTTGTTAATGTTTCTAGCTCTATTTTATATCATTATTTCCTTTTTTTATTAGCATTTATTTTTTCTTAAATCGTCTTGCAGCTTCCATGGTGGGCTCTTAGCTTGCTTTGTCTTTCAAAGCGAGTTCACTCAACATTCCTCCATGCTGCAATGGCATCCATTCTTTTTGGATGGTGGCGATTCGGGTTGATTATTTTTAGGTAGTATGCTTAGTTTATCAACACAATTTCTTATTCCCTTTTAAGAAGGAATAGAAAGAAGTTGATCCTACTTTCTCTCTTTTTTATATGTAGTGCTGCATTTTCAATAAAGATGAATGTCCTCCTCTTTGCTCCATCTCTTTTTGTACTCATGCTAAAGGTGCATTAATGACTGCTTGCTTGATTATGTTTTTCTAGTAATTAACAACTAGATTAGTTATTTTACTTAAACAGTTGCATATTTCTTTGTTATCACCTCTTATAATAGGCTATGAATATCAATGGGGTAATATCAGCTTTAGCTGGTGCGGCACTTGTGCAGGTGTGTCTGCTATTCCTTTTTGGCCCTTGACGACTCATTATTAGAATTGAAATTTCCTGATACTTGTGACTTCTACTTCTAATTACCTTGCTTTACCGATAACACGGGAAGTAAATATAAATCTCCATGCATCTTAACTTATATTCAATGTGGTTAGGTGAGTTGGACTACTGCAAGTAATTTCGAGGCAGGCATTGCCTGTCAATATATTTATTGTTTTCTTCATGCTCAGTAAAAGGTTCTGCAGATTGTGCTGGGGCTGCCATTTGTAGTTTCATATCCAATTGAATATATATCACGTGCCTTTAATCTTGGACGCGTTTTCATCCACTTCTGGTAATTTTATAGTGTTGAAAATGCTTTCTGTTCTCCTTAGTTGCCAGTTACTAACACATTGACAGGATTAATCAGTAGCATCTTTTCTGAATGGTGGTAAATGGAAATATTGTTTATGTAATTTTTCTTGGATTATTGATATTTCAAGGAATATCAGCTTCATAGTTCATCAACAAGATTACACTTTAGATTTTCTTTTGCGCATGGGACTACAGATTAGATTGGATTGCTAGATCAAATTTGACCTGAAAGAATTCTGAAGTTGAGAAATTTGTTGTTTTTCTCTTTATAAATCCTTTTGATAAGAAATTATTATATTTGGTTTCCTCAAGGATTGTCACTTTGTATGTTGCAGTGGTATTTTGCGAATAGCTCTATACTTTATTGTTTTCCCGACAATGCTTTTTTTTTAACTTGCACAACAATGGGTGTTGTTGAGGTCTAACCTTGACTTTTAATTTTTGCCAGCTCAGTTGGTAGAGCACAAGGTTCTTAACCTTGAGGTCGTGGGATCGAGTCCCATGGAGGGCATTTCATAATTTGGAGGTCTCCTACGGAAGTTGCTCTCAACCTAATGTTGGGGACAACCTACTATCTTACCTCCCCTTACCCTATTACATATGGGAACAAGGGACAACCATTTTTTCTGTCAACTTCAAGTTCATTCCTGAACCAATTTTTGTGTCGAAGGAGTTTGCCTCTCTTTACTGATTGCTCAACTTGGTTTGCTTATAGTATTTGCTCATTATAAATGGTGCAAGTAAATGAAATGGCTTATGTTCTCTTGGTAGTAAATGCTGAATGCATGGTCACAGGATTTTTTTTTTCTAGAAAAAGAGTTAGTTTAGAGAATGTTTGTGCTGTTTATCATAAAATTTATAGATCCAACCTTTTAGGCAATATTTGTTGCCGTGTAAGTTATAGAAATAATTTTGGTTGCTCGTATATATACGGCTTGGAGGCATGAAGGTGGACTTTTTAAGTTTTTATATTCGAGGATTAGGTGTTGTTTGTCATTGTCCAGCTCAACATGGCCAAAACTCCTCAAGAAAGAACGTAAGCCCTTCTGTGAATTTTTCCTCTGTTCCTGTCCTCTTCATTGCAATATTAAATTTGGTGGAAATGAATCTACAGATATCGTGACAACCATGTTTGCTGGAAACTTCATTGGCATTATATGTGCTCGTTCATTGCATTATCAATTCTACTCGTGGTGAGTGTCCTGCTAGTACAAGTGCCTTGAATTTGATATTCATATCTTCGACACCTCCCATGATACATATTATTATGGGCAATCTAGATAAGTTCTTTTCTAGTTTGTATATATTCGATATCTGCTCTACACAATCGTTTATGTAGAATCATACTTTCAGATCCCTCATCTGGTCTTAACCAGTCTCTGGGTGCAGGTATTTCTACAGTTTGCCTTAACTGTTGTGGATAACACCTTTCCCTACATTGCTTTGGTAACTTCTTTACCCCCAACGCGGATTTGGATAAATATGGTGCAGTTAGTTGCGTATAATAACTCGTTAATCTTTCGCATGTTCAGCATGCTTATTTTCGTTGGAGTGGAGCTGTGATGGAATGTGTTCCCATCAAACTTGTATTCATCTCTTCTACTCCTTTGTCTACACTTAACTTTTACTGTTGGGTTTGTGGTATTCTACGCCCGAAAATCCTTACGCGAGCGAGAAGTCGGTTAGTCGAAAGGAAAAATGAAGCGCCCAACCCTTGTATGAACTTCCTTCATTTCATCTAATGGTGAAATGATGAATCCATTCATTTCTTAAAGGTTTAATTATACCCCCACCCCTTGTATTCTAAAGATCTAGAAATTTTAGTATGCTTTGAATTCCTGTGAAGTTGGTCTCTTGTTCGATTTGACGAGTAAAGTTTAATTAAATTCCATTGTGGCATTTTATTATTCAAATTAAAATCTAATGGCAGAGAGTTTGTAGTGTTGTTACTTGGATAGAAAGATTAAATTTTCGGAATAAAAGGTTAGGACTAAATTCAAAAGTCCTATTAGTAAGGGTACTGAGAGTATATTTAAACCAAAATAAAGTACAAAGGCTGATTACTTGTTTTTTGAAAGAAACACAAAACGCAGATGAGACTTTCTCTTGAAGGGATCCATTCCTGTGTTTAAATTTTGAATTCACTCGGCGCTCCATAACTCCTTTATATACCCTTCAATTTTCACAGTTAAAGATTATTTATACGAATTAAACGATCTCGTAAAAGAATTGTTGTTATTCTTTGAGGTCTCGAGTTCGAACGAAAAAATATTAGAGATGCGAGTTTTTTATATCAAATGATTAAGATTTATTTTTGAACACATTTTTATGTGTTTTAAAAATTAGTATAGTTGTATGAATCCAGTTATTTCAATGATTAAATGAATGATTGTTATAACTAGAAGTCTCGAGTTTAAGTACCAACGATTACTTTACATTCATTGTAAAGTGATTGAAAATCTTGAAAATAAATACTATCACTTATAATTATTTGAGATTAATAAAAAAAATTGATATATTATATTTTCATTCAAAAGATGTATTATATTTAAAAATAAAAGTTAAAAAAAGGTTGAAGAGTGGCATATAGGTAAATAAAGGTGTAAGCTGGGATGAAAAAGGAATAGATCATGCGCCTAAAATTTCCTTCAAACTTTCCCAGAATTTTGAATTGAAGCTAAGCGTCGGGTTAGCAGCTGAGGAGCACATCCAAGATCCACTGCAATGGTTAACGTTATTTCCTTTCCTTCTTCTTTCTCCATTTTAGCATCGTTGGAACTGATAATCTTCCTCGATATCACTTTGTTCCTATCCTTTTTAATTGCTCAGAACGCTACGATCTAAAAGTCATATAATTTTCTTCATAAAGGATTTGGAATAAACAGCGGCTTGTTTTAGATCCGTCCTTTTAAACTCGAGGGTCTAGATGATTTTTTTAGTTAGGGATTTTGATATTTTGTTTCTGATTCAATAATGTTTTTTGGGGGATTAAAGTTGTTTGGGCGCTTGAAATGCTGGCGTTCGGGTTTAATACATGGGCTCTGTTATCAGTCTTGGTGTATTTTGAGACTGAAACCTTAGTTAATGGCATGCAATTGCTTGTTCTTTCTGAGTTTTTTTTCATAATTCTTATGCAGTTTCTGTGATTTTTCATAACTCATATCAACTAATGATATGTGATATGAAAGCTGAATGCTATACTTTTTTTTTCAGGATGATCATAATTCGGACGAGTCAAAGCAAAACACTGCTGATATGACTGTTTTTGTGAGTTCCTAACCTTTTCTTCGTAAGATGAATGAACTGCTTTTAAAGTATGATGTTTATGCTAGTACCATGATGGCATAATCACTGCCGATTTTGATTCATTTTGAACTGTTAAGATTGCCCTTGTCGGACAAATCTCTCTAATGGATGTAAATCAGTAATCATTGGCTTTGGCTTTGTAATTTCCTTTATTATAAGCGTTTGATAACGATTTCTTTGGTTTTTATAGGTGCAAAATCTTCTTCAACAAATGGTGAGTTATAATTGGAGCCTCCTTTGTTAGATTTTTTATTTGTGTTGACGGAATTTTGTTTGCAGCAATCTAGGTTTCAAACAATGTCTGATTCCATTATCACCAAGAATATCCTTTCAAGTGTTCTTTCATAAGATACAAACTTTTGTCAACAATGTCTGATTATGTAAATAGTTTGTCATAAATGTTCTGAAAATATTCTCTCTTTCTTGTTGAGCTTCTAGTTCTATTGTTACGTGAAAAGATTGAATTGTGTAAAGTAGTCTTTAGTTTAGTTATACATTTGCAGGAATTCCTAGACTATAAGATTCTTTCTGAGATAGTGATGTGAATCTGTATCTAATAATTGCTATGATGGCCAGATTTGAAGAAGTTATGAAACTTTATTATGTTTCGATGGTTTAGCTCAAGTGAAAATAGTTATGCATTACTGTCAAGTATGGGACAGCTTTTGTTTACTTAACTCCTAAGCACTCGACGACATGGGAAACCGTATAAACGAGTTGGAGCAAAGCATCAATGACCTAAAAGCAGAGATGGGAGTGGATGGCTCCTCATCCCCGTTAGAACCGTCAAAGCAAAAGTCGGATGAAGCAAAGCATGATGAAGGCTCAGCATAGAACTCGGCCAAAGACTATAACTTCGATGTTGATTGTGATTTTAGTTGGTTATAACTGGTTTTGTTTGAGAAAACTATTGTCGAGAAAGGGACATTACTGGGAGTCCCAATTGTCCTTTGTACTTGTATTAAGTATTTATTCGATGAACTGTGATGGTTAACATTCCCACTTTATTCATTGGACTTGGCCAGTTGTTATGCAGTTCCTTAGCTTTTTTGGCCATCCTCTATTATGTGCATAATGATATCATGAGCATTTCTGATGTGCAGTTCTCATGGGATGCTGTGATCTACAATGCTTCAAAGCTCTTCACTAAGTTTTAGGGCAATAATCTGTCGGGAAAGTGTCCCGTTGAAACCTCTTGGAATCGTTCCACCGGCCTGGTCGTGTTGCGGCCAGCTGCAAATACGATCCAACCTCAGACCATGGGTTTGCAAGGTAATTGACATCAGCTGGTATGATGTTATTGGTCGTTCGATTCTCAGCTCCGAGTTGCACTCTACTATACCAATGCAAAAAAATGAATATCTTCATAAACATGTAACAATTTTTTCTGCAGTTCTTAGCCTCTGATCATTTCTGATAAATATTTGAACATGTTATGTCCCACACATGCTATTCCAAAATCTTCTATAATCTTATGGGTGTCGTTATCGAGAACGGAAAGGGTAGCTCTGGTCGGAACGAGACCTTGGACCAGACCTAGTGATATATGATTGATTCCACGACCAACCGAAGTACGCAGAAAAAAGTTCTGCTTTATATACGATCAAGTTAAGGAGGAATTGAAACAGCTTTGACGATGGAGCCGTTACGGTCTCCACTGAGGTCGAGAAAGAACAATATTAGTCTTAATCATGGTGGATTGAAATGCTATGAGTCAAATAAATGCATACAAACATGAACAACTAGCCATTTAGTTTGAATTTCTTGATTAAAATTCTGGTATCCCGTCATGCATGTCACGACGTACACATAGGTCAGGCGAGTGTGCCATTTAATTGAGGGTAAACTACTTGGATGACCACTAAGTTATGGTGTCGGTATCGAAATAATTATAATTTCAAATTTGTGTCAATATAACCATTGAACTATTTAAAAGGATTCAATAAAACCACTGAACTGTTTAAAAGGATTCAATATAACCACCATAAGTTAAAATCTAATGGGTGATGTGGCAGTTAACAGAAATTTGTATAATTACACATTTGATCTCCAATACTTGTATATTTTATCAATTTAGTCATAATTTTAATTTAATTCAAAAAAAAATTAACCTTCCATTCAGGATGTGTCACGTGTTAACCGATTATTGAGATATATTTTAATAGTGACACGTGTCAAAATCTAATTGGAGAGTTTTTAATTATTTCTAATATTTTAATTAAATGAAGTTTTCCTCTAAAAAGACGTGTCATCATATGATTAAAGGAAAAACAAACCAGAGAGAAATAATGCAGGTTCGGAATCTTGAATCAAGGGTGGGCATGCCCAAAGCACTAAGCCAAACACAATATTTGGTATTAGTTTATCGAAACTTTTATTTATTTTGTTCTAGATTTTACATAAACAATTAAATTATAATATTCTAATAAATAAATTATAGGATAAACTTCTTGAATGACTACCTAAATATGATAATTGAATTAAGTTTTTAACCTAATTAATAATTTTAAAATTTTATGTTGGTATATAACATTATTTTTATAAATATATAAAAATATTTTAATTTTTAATTTATTAATAAAATATACTTCAATCACATATGCAGAGATATGGTTATAAATAAATGTAAAATCTATTTTATTTTATTTTTATTCATATGTAAATTTATTAACTGGTGTTGTGATTAAAATAACTTATTAGAAAAAGGTGTTGGACTCAAATGATCTCTGAATTGCTTCCCTTTTTTTATTATTTTATTTTATATTCAAATTGGTAAAAGGTAAGTGTCTTTATTAATATTTGAATTTTGGTTAAAGTATAGTTTGAATAATTAAGTTTTTAATATTAATAATGTATTTTATTAGAAGATGCCGATTTCATTTATCAATTGATTCATAAATTTTATCCTTCAAGTTGATTGAATATGTGATGATGCAATTAAGGATGCAGTATAAGCATTTCAATTTAATCCTAGTCTTAATGATATTGTTTATAATCGAGCCTAATAAGTTTAGTTTCTTACAATTAGGTCCTTAATCCATTAAGTTAGTTAAAAATCCTGACAGGTAAGTTAAGCATCTTTCGAGTCTTAAATTTGATTAATAAGATCGACTTTAATATCTTAATTGATTTTGATTTGGGCCTTAATTATTAAGTTTTAGTTTTTATTCATCATTTTTACTAACTTCGTCCTCGTAGTCATTTTTTATGAGACCGCACAATATCTTTTGGATTTTGGACGCAGCGAGAGTGCTTTAACATTCCCAGAACGTAATCGGCTTATTACTCCATGCATAGAAAAGAAGAAAGAGAAGGTTCTTAGGATAACTACATGCATAGTTGATGTTTTTCTAATAGCATGCGGGTTTATTTCCAAACTAGAAGGTGACTTATTACTATAAGTCTCTCCATTTTATTTTTCGTCTACGTATGACTTGGCAAGCAGATATTATAAAAGCTAGCATTCATGATCCCCTATGCTTCAAAGCTGTTAGCTTTGGTTCAGGGCAAGAATCCGTTGATAAAGCGTCCCCGCGAAACCACGCGGATAAGCTCCACCGGGCCTGGTGGCGTTGCCAGTTGTAAACACGATCCTCAAGATTTCCCGTTCAGTCCGTTTATATGCAAGCGAGTTGACATCTGCCGCTATGACGTTAGTGGTAGTTCGACCCTCAGCTCCGAGTGGTGGCGGCACAATCAAACCTTCGTCTTTCACTCCGCAGCCCCCTAGTTGGTTCCCAATTTGTGCAGTGAGGTTGGAAACATTCTCCACTGTGAATGGATAAGGCTGCACTGTTGAGTTAGCCCTGTCGTAGAGTTGCGATCGCAGAGCACCATATGATGCAGCCTCGTAGAGCCCGATTCCAGCCGCCAACTAAATAAGTGAAAATTATTAAGAGTAACAATGATTTGAATAGATTATTCCAAAGAGGAAAGGAGTTACCTCTCGTTCAGTGTTGCCGACAATCGAAGACATAATCCCAGCGTAATATTGTTTTAAAAGATAAGAAAAATAAACAGCTGCGAAAAGAAAGCTGTTTGTGTTGGCGTAAAAATTGAATGGAGGATCCAAAGTGACATTTAAAACGTCGAAAAATCCGGAAAATACTTGTGCGCTAAAATTCAACAGCGGCCTTCGAAGTGGAGCCTCTAGTGATGTCAAGTTTACGATAGCCCTGCAAAATTTCAAAACTTTTTTACAACATATTAACTGCATATATATCTTAAAATCCCATATATAGCACGGAAAATATGAAACGATACGAACCTGATATGTCCGACGCTAGCTAAACCAAGTTCCTCTATAATCTTTCTGGTGTCGTTATCGAGATCAGCAACGGCAGCTCCGATGGGTGCGGGACCTTGGACCAGACCTGGTGATATATCGTTGATTCCACGACCAACTGAAGAACGCAAAAAAAGTTCTGCTTTAAGAATGTGCAAGTTCGAAGCGAATTCGAACTTTTCTCTTGTAGAAGCCAGTACTGGCCTGCAGCGAGGTGGAGGAAGAACAGTGTTGGCGTTCATCATGGCGGATTGAAATGCAACAAGTAAGAGAAGAAAAACACTTAAGCATGATGGAGTAGCCATTTTTGTTTAAATTGCTTGATCAAACTCAGTTGTAGGAGATTAGGGATGGGTTCTTCTCCTTTTATAGTGGGGGGAATCTGGTATCCGTTCATGTATGTAAGTTTGGTTTAACGTGAATTGCTTAATGACTTTTAAGTTAGGTTTAAAACATTTATTAGTTAGCAAATTGCATGTAGATGCTAGATATTTAGTCCACTTATCTTTTTTTTCAACTATAAATTTCTATAAGCTTATCCTAATAGGAACGTTTTTTTTCCCATTAGGCATCCTGATTTTTTATTTAGTCCGTTAGGGCACCCAGATATTTAATTTGGGATCTACGAATTTTTTTTACAGTATTTATGAAACTCGTCGTGTCGAGATAATGAGTTCCGATGAAATATATTTTTCCCATGTCACCTTGAAGTTTGAATAAAAAATATTTTATTGGAACTCGTCACCTTGACGTGATGAGTTCCAAAATATTTTTCGGGCTGCCTTATTGGGCCAAAAAAACCAACATGAATCGATATGCCTTGACATGAACCGGCCTGGGTTGTAGGTGGGTTAGCTTGGTATTGGTTCGGGTTAACAAGGTTTGAAGCGGGTTGGGATTTGGGCCGAATTTGGGATTGTGTTTTGGCTTATATTACAAATAAGTACTTAAAGTATATATTCTTTTACATTTAAGTACTTAAAGTATTTTTTAGTCAAAATAAGTACCTAAAGTTATATTTTTGGTTAAAATAGGTACCTAAAGTATTTTAGGTCAAAATAAGTATTTTAAAATGTAAATTTTTAAAATTATTTTATTTTTATTCATTTGTAAATTTATTAACTTGTGTTGTGATTTGTGATTTAAAGTTTCTTTGTAAATGAACATTTTCAGTTCATATAGTAATAAAAATGAAGGATATTATATTAAAAAAAATAGATCTAATTGCATCACACTTCCTTTAATTATGTCCCTTATTTTAAATCGGTCATTAAACTTTTAAATATTTTAATTTCATACATAAGCTATTATTATCATTCTAAATTAGTCCTCAAACTTTTGAACATTTTAGTTTCATCCTCAAACTATGATATTCATTCTAATTAGTACCCAAACTTTTTGAACATTTCAATTTTATCCCAAATTATACGTATACACTGATCGCATCCCCTGTTAATAAAATTGTTAAGCCAACTTATATTATTATATGTTTGAAAAAATTACAATTTAGGTTAAACTATGATTGAAACTGATTACATATTAGGATGAATTTTGAGATGAAATTGGAAGATTTGAAAGTTTGTGGATCAACTTAAAATGAGAGTCATAGTTTGAGGGTGAAATTGGAGTGATCAAAACTTAAAGAACTAATTTGAAATGAGTCATAGTTTAGGGATGAATTTAGAATTTTTAAAAGTTTAAGGATTAATTTAAAATGAAGATCCTAGTTTGAGGACATATGATACAATTAACTCCAAAAATTATATTTTATATAAATTGAGTTTACTTTGATTGGTATTATTGTTAATTCATCATACGAGAGAGGACATGAGTCGAGTTACTTCAAATATTTTAAATAATAAATTTTATATTTTATTTGTAATATCAATTAATAAAAGTCATTAAAATATTTTAAAACTAATCATCTTAAATAGTTTTGATTAAGACCTGAATGTCAACTCTGTTATTTTTTTTGAATTAATCATTGGTATTCGATCTATTAACCGATTAATTCAGATCGTGTACTGCTAAGACGAAGGCAACCCTCACAATTCAGTTTGCTCCATTCGCAAACGCCATGATTCGAACCCCGTGACCTTGCTTAAGGGACATAGTATCTCATCTCATTAGACCAACTGATTGTTGGTGTTAACTCTACTATTTATACACAATAATTTCACCATTAAACTTGGAAGAGAAACTGTGGTCCAAGAAATTAAATGTTTCCATAAAAAATCTTAAGTTCGAATCTGGATTTGTACAATCTTGTTTATATATTTTAATTAGTAATATATTTGTACATTATAATGATTATTTTAATTATTCAATAGTTTATACCATTTCCCATGGTAAACCTGGCCTCTTGTCAATGAAATCTTGGAATTGTTCAATTATTTGTTAAAGTTTTACAATTAATTCAGTGATTTGATTTTTCTAACTCGTGGAAAATTTGCAGCCATAGAAATTTATGGGTATTCAATGCACGTTAATTTCTTTTTCTAAAATGAAAATTAATAAGATAAAATTAAGAGAAAAAGTAGGCGGAGGCAACTCTGGGGGGGGGGGAAATATAGTATTAAGTAATTCATTTATTATTCTTAGACTATATTAAATATAAGGGTAAACTACATCAGGTACACCGAACTAAATAAAGAGAAAATTAGAAAGTGCAACAGTGCCGCAGCCCCCTAGTTGGTTCCCAATTTATGCAGTGAGGTAAGAAACATTATCCACTGTGAATGGATGGGGCGGCACTGTTGAGTTAGCCCTGTCGTAGAGTTGTGACCGCATAGCATCGTATGATGCAGCCTCGTGGAGTCGGATTCTAGCCGCCAATTAAGGGTCCGTTTGTTTTACTGAAAGCAGTTTCCGAAAAATAAAATCTGAAAAATGAATTTTATTTATGAAAAACATTTTCCAAATTTTTTTTTCAGTGTTTGGATGTTACATTGTAAAATGTATTACAATGTTTGATTAATTTTTCTAAAAACAGTTTTTAGAATCTGTTTTTAATAAAGAATCATACATATTCGATATTTTTTTATTCTTTACCTTTTGGTTTTATTAAGTTCATTTTATTTTTTATATAATTATATTTTATAAAACTTTGTATTTTTATAAGTATGTCAAACTAAATTTTTAGATAATATTAAGAATTTATGTTGATTGTGTTATAAATAGACTATTTTAGGTTTAAAATCTTCATGATGCTTATTCATTAGTATTTTTAGAAATGAATTTCAACGTACAATTAATGTCATGTAGGTTTATTTGATATAATATTAATAATTTATTAAAAATATATTATAAAAGTTTATAAATATTATGTAGGTTTAATTGATATAATCTTAATAGTACACCACATTAAATCATCATTGTTCTTCCTAAACAGGCATTTCCTCCTTTCAATTTCAAGATGTGCCAGGAATGGATTTCTTAAAGAATCATTACTAGTTTCTGCTTGTAACTTTTGTACAAATGCTGATGCATTTTCCACACAAGAATCGAACTGTAGAGAGACCAGATTGGATTTTATTACCATTGTACAAAACTACATGAGAACTAACAAGTATAAAATCCAGCAAGCAAAATTCAAAAGTTATAATTAATATACCACTTCATCTGTCAAGTGAGCAAGCTTGCATTCCACAAATTTTGGGGGATTAATTGAAACATTGATGGTTTCACAGGACCAACTGCTGTCATCCTCAAATAAACAGCCTAGATAATGTAGGAAAACCTCCCAATCATCCCCACCGACAGTTACAACGAAAAGAAAGAAATACCACTGTTAAAGACAAATGTTTAGGAATGAATAATTCAACTCAAAACCCAAGTCCACACTAGTAAACTGCCATAGTTACTCATGCAAAGTTGTGCTGTAAATTTCTGTAACATCCATAAGCATACCATAGTTACTCATGCAAAGTTGTGCTGTAAATTTCTGTAACATCCATAAGCATACCATAGTTCTAAGATTTTCTGGTAACATAGTTTTGATAAGAGAAGAAAAGCAGAAAATCTCCACATGAAAATAATGTTCAATCATTCACATAACAGTGGATTTTGAACAGGCGACATCAACGTCCAAAATATATTTCCAATATCAATACTAATATACTCTCAACAACTTCTCTCCACCGTTTCCACAAAGAACCTGAAGAAGTTCAGAGCCCACAAATTAAGCAGTAGAAGTAGACATATTCTACATTATAATTAGCTCTGAAACATCTATATCACTCTTGCAGAGGCATTCCAGTATATGAATCCTTGAGATAATCAAGTAGACTATAAATAATATCAAAAAATAAGATAAACCAAGAGGGCCTGAGCTGCAGCCTGACATACATTTCAAATAAACACGTGACATGTCTGTCCATTTTTTACGAATGATGTAAAAAAAATTATGGCCTTCATATCCCTTTGGATGATATGTTACTCAATAGTCTTCCAATGTTCTACAAACAAGTAACACTGCCAAAAAATAGATCTTCATATCCCTTTGAAGAATAGAACTTCCGTTAAACTATTGAAAACATATAAATAAATCCCAGCAGCCTCTTTATGCACACAAATACCAGAATTTTCGGTACATATTTTATATTTCTTAGCAACTGGTTTCTACAGAGGTAAACTTCACTTCACTAAACTGACACCATTCATCAAATCTTCTTTACAGAAGAAACTGCAACACTTTCAAACCTGAACCTAGATCTGACTGTTTTACCAGTGCAACCATCTACAAATTCAATCTTGGGTATGGAGACAGTAAGTTTTTGATGTAACCCACCTACATATAAGATATTCTTTCAAGATATTTTTATTTGAAAATTATGCTTTATTTTAAAATTTTAAATTGGAAAGATTATTTCCAATGTTTTATTTTTTACATGTTTAGTCATGGCCACAACTAGAAGAAACAATGTGCAAAACTTTAGTCAGGACCAATCAAGAATGGATGGCAGTTTGATTTCATTTCCAAAATTGGGTAAAATTCATCTTTCTCAGTAAATTGGAAAGATTATTTCAATGGTTTTATAACTTTTTCATTCTATTTATGAAGAAGGCACTAATTTCAATTCATATTTATTAAGACCAGTACCAATGGAAGACAGGCTCAACAAACTGGGGGAAAAGGAAAAATGGGGCATCAAAGGAAACCAGCAGAACCTGCAACCGGATGCTACAAATTGCCCAGAGTAAGAACCTTTCTTCGCCAACGAGCTTGTACATTTTGATGGCTGTCTGGCGGAAACATAAAAACCGAATAAGTAACACAAATTATGCGTTCGTCTTCATAGAGAGATATGCCCGTAAAGGAATGATAGAATTTAAAAAACAAGAAAACACGAACTTGTTGCTGCATTACAAAGGAATACTCTCCAACATAACAGTTGAAAAGCCCCATCATTAGTTCCAAATTGTTTGGGAATTTCCCGCAAGCATGCTCGTAACAGCTAGTAGCCAACTCCACTGAAAATTACCAAAAATGTCATAAAAAGATACTTATAGGCAACTGAAAAACTACGGGGAACACAATTAATGAGTCAATCGATTTAGCCAAAAAGAAAAGAAAACTAACGGTGATCGAGTCGTTGGAAAACAATCTGCAGAGTACTAAGAGTAAGATCGTCCATCAACAAAGACTCATTCTTATACAAAAGCTCTTTCGCATTTAAACAAACAGACAGTGCTTCATCGGGTTTTCCCATTCTTTCCAATATCAAAGCTTTTAGAGCCTGCAAATAATCAAATCCGAAAAATATGACTACTAAAGAAGAGATCATACTGCGAAAGAAGATGCTTAAACCGATTAAAAACGTACAAGAGCGTACGGAGAATTGGGATGTTTGGAGAGGAGAGTCGTAGTGATTTTGAGAGCATTTTTGAACTGTCGAGAATCGATGGCGTCCCAAATGGGTCGAACCCGACGCTCCGGAATTCCACCAGCTAAACCCCAAACTTGGAAGCCATCTTCTGCTCAATTCCGGGGAATCGCTATCAAATAAACGCCGGTGAGAAGAAGGCCACTTGATCGAATGATTTTGGGTGTGGATAGATTTAGGGAAGGGAAAATGACTCCTTTTTTTAACGGTAAGTTGTTTTACGGGGAGGAGGAGTTAATTTTATGTTGACCGTAAAACATTTTCAGTTGACTTCGTGTTTTTTTAACCAAACATAAGAAAATTTAGAAAATATTTTTCGTAAAATGTTTTCTCCATACAAACGGAGCCTAAATAAGTGAACATTTGTATACCTCTCGTTCAGGGTTGCATACCCAAACATGGTTGGATGTATGTGGCTCCCTGAAACTACTGTACATTCATTATTTTGAAAAAAAAATTCTTAAATTTAATTTAATCTGTTAATGAAAATAGAAAAATTGAAATTTTTTTGCAAACTCAAATTTTTTAGAATAATTTTGTAGACTAAAAAATTTGCATACCCAAATTGGGATTTTGCCGAAGTTGGGATTGTATTGTTTCGGCTTATATCACAAATAAGTAATCGGTATATATTCTTTTCATTTAAGTACTTAAAGTATTTTTTGTCAAAATAAGTATTTAAATTTATCCTTTTGATCAAAATAAATAGTTAACTATTTATAATTTTTAATCTAAGTTTTAAAAAAGTTGACATGTGACATTAATTAAAGAATAAAAATTAGCTGACCCTATTCCCATATGTAATGGGGTAAGGGGGAGGTAGGATAGTAGGTTGCCCCCAACGCTAGGTTGAGAGCAGCTTCCGTAGGAGACCTCCGGCAGTCAGAATTATGAATTGCCCACCATGGGACTCGATCCCACAACCATAAAGTTAAGAGCCTTGTGCTCTACCAACTGAGCTGGACAGACAATTCATTGACATTAATTAAAGAATATTTTAAGTATATAGATAAAAAATCAATACTTTAGGTAATTATTTTGACTAAAAAATACTTTAGGTACCTACCTATTTTAACCAAAAAGATTTCTTTAAGTTCTTATTTTAACAAAAAAATACTTTAGGTACTTAAAATAAAAATATAATATATTTTAAATACTAATTTATTATATAAACCTTCTGTTTTTAGAAGAAAAAAATTGATCGGCTTTTTTTTTTAACTAACCAGCCTCTTTCTTCAAAAAAACAAACCAATCCCAATTTCGGCCCAAATCTCAAACCGGATTAATAGGTCCGAACCGGATTAATTTGGTGTCTAAAAACGCAACTTACCACTAAGATAAATTCGATTTTTGGTTTAGGGTTAACAAGATTTTATATATAAGTTCAAATATATTAAATCACAACAGGTAGATATTAAATAAAAAATTATATTTTTTATGATTTACAAAAATTATATTTATGTTAAAATGCATCTGATACGTTTTTTTTAATATTTTTAAACTAAATTAAATGTTTTATCACCTTTTTAGTTTTACAATTATATACACACACACTAATATGATAATTGAATTAAGTTTTTAACCTAATTAATAATTTTTAAATTTTATGTTGGTATATAACATTATTTTTATAAAAATATAAAAATATTTTAATTTTTAATGTATTAATAAAATATACTTCAATCACATATGTGTAAAATTTTAAAATTATTTTATTTTCTTTTAATTCATTTGTAAATTTATTAACTGGTGCTGTGATTTAAAGTTTTAGATCGAAATAATTTATTAGAAAAAGGTGTAAGAGGTGATTTTTATTTTTTTACTGTTACAGTTTCTACAACTATTGCATAACGATCATTTTTAACAATACAACAACAACAACAATAAAACCCTATTCCCATATACAATGAGGTAAGGTGGAGGTGGGATAGTAGGCTGCCCCCAACGCCCGATTGAGAGCAGCTTCCGTGGAAGACATCCGGCAGTAAGAAAATTAAAAATAAAGATAAGATACAATGTCTGCATAAATAAATCAATAAATACATAGTTGAACAGTCTTCATATGATGTCTTCATATCTGCGTCTGTAATGGTTAGTAAATCCCTGCGAATAAATCCCTGCGTAAAAATCTCTGCTTATAGACAGAAACGTAAGTCCCGGTTAAATATAAAAAGAGGAAAAATGAAGATAAGGATACACAGGAGTTAGCGATAGCAAGCTACTAGAAGGAATAAAGTCAAATGGTTTAAAACCTAAACTAAGGCAACACTACTCCGTTATCCTAGTTCTAAGCCTTCATGAAATCTAATAACAGAAACGTATAAAAAGTAGAAGTCATGGAGATTACTACAAAGACATTAAAAGGATACAGAGATGCTACACCCTATGGTTGTGGCCCACACTACTCGACTACCCTGGTCTTAAGTCTCCATACTTTTCTATCAGAGGTCATGTCCTCGGTAAGGGCTAATTCCTTCAAATCAGATCTCAAACAGTCTACCCACTTCCTCCTTGGTCGTCCTCTCCTTCTGGCACCGTCGAGTGTAATCGACTCTACCCTCTTGACCGTATCCGACGTTTGTCGCCCAAGGACATACCCAAACCACCGTAGTCTTCCCTCTCTCAATTTCCCTCTCTCAATTTTTAACAATGAATATCATTATAAAAAAATTATGTAACAAGATTGAAGTTAAATTCTTATAATTTAATTATTAAAAAAAATTATCGTCTACGTATGACTTGACATGCAGACTTCCAGTTATTATAAAAGCTAGCATTCATTGGATACTAAGATCTCCAATGCTTCAAAGCTCTTAGCTTTGGTTTATGGCAACAATTCGTTGATAAAGCGTCCCCATGAAACCATTCGGAAAAATCCCACCGGGCATGGTGGCGTTGCCAGTTACGAACTCGATCCTCAAGGTTTCTCGTGCAGTCCGTTTATATGCAAGTGAGTTGCCGTCCGCCACTATGACGTTAGTGGAAGTTCGACCCTCAGCTCCGAGTGCAAGTGGCACGGTTAAACCTTCATCTTTCACGCCGAAGCCACCCAGTTGGTTAATAATTTATGCAGTAAGGTTGGTAAAATTCCCCACCGTGAATGTATAAGGAGGCACTGTTAAGTTCTCTCTATCGTTGAGTAGTGATCGGATGACACCATATGATGCTGCCTCGTAGAGAGCGATTCCGACAGCCAACTAAATAAAGAGAGTGATTTGAGATTAGATTATCTGAAAGAGGAAAAGGGTTCAGAGTTGCCGATAATCGAAGGTATAATTCCAGCATAATATTGTTTTGAAGTATAAGAAAAATAAACAGCGATTGCCCTGCAAAATATTGAATGGCGTAAATGTTGAATGGAGGATCCAAAGTAACATTTAAAACGTCGAAATATTTGGCAAAAACTTGTGCTCTTAAATCTAACTGTGGCATTAAAAATGGAGTATTTAGTGATGTCATGTTCGCGATTGCCCTGCAAAATATATCAAAACTAATTTATAAACTTTTTACAACCCTAACTTTTTACTTATAATATGAAACGATATGAACCTGAGATGTCCGAGACTAGCTAAACCAGATTCCTCTATAAACCTTCTGCTGCGGTTATCGAGATTGGCAATGGTGACTCCGATGGGAGCCGGACCTTCGACCAGACCTGGTGATATATCGTTGATTCTAAGACCAAATGAAGAACCCAGAAAAAATACAGCTTTATAAATATGCAAGTTCACAGCGAATTCGAACATTTCTCAGGTAGAAGCTAGTACTGGTCTGCAGCGAGGTGAAGGAAGAACGGTGTTGGCCTTCATCATGGTGGGTTGAAATGTAACAAGACAAGAAAAACACATAGAGAGAAACTTTTCTACAAAGTTTTGTGCAAGCAACCAGAAAACTTACAAAGAGCATATAAGACGTTCAACATCATTTTAAAGCAATTGGGGTACCTACTAGTTTGTCAGTTTTTATTCCATACATATATCAGAGGTGATTATCCCATGTAGTATGAGTTTAAAATATTTATCTTTATATTGTTAAAATATATTATTTAATTATTAAAAATATTATAAAATATATTATTTTAATTATTTTAAAATATTAATATATTCGGGCCAAGTAGGGGCATAGTTTTAGTTTAAAAATCGGGGTGGGTTCGGAGCAGTAGAAAAGTAAACAAGATCATGGCGAGGCAGGGCCAGGTATAAGCTGTAGATTTTCGGGTCGGGATCGGGGCAACCAAAAAACCAGCCAGCCCCACCCTGTCCCATGCCCATCTGTTGAAAACATTTTTGATATTTCGATATAACAAATTAAGTTAAATGAATTTTAAGATTTTACAAATGATTTTACAAATTATATTCGATTCAATTAATCGAATATCAAATTATTACTCCAAGTTTTTCAAGATCAATTTTAATCCTTACTAAATGTGTAAAATTGTGATTTGTACTTAAACTATTTTTGAAACAATTTTCACAGTATTTTGAACCAAAATCAAGCCTTAAATCAATTTTTCAAAGGCATGCACCGATGCATTAGTCCATGCATCGATGCACCTATGATTTAATTGAACATCGAATGCATTTCATGCACCGATGCACTCTCCATGCATCGATGCACTCTGGCTATTTTTCAAACATCGAATGCATTTTATGCATCGATGCATCCTTAGTGCACCGATGCACTAAGTGTCCCAACGGTCAAAATATTTGAATTTTACACTGATGCACTGATGCATCCTTAATCATGCATCGATGCATGAGACGCTCCACCCAGAAAAATTAATTGTTTTCACACTTAAACGGCTATATTATCTTCATTAATGATCCCCAACGTTCAGAAGTGATTCAAGGTGTATTTAAGCAAGCTTAGAAGCCATTGATAAAAAACAAGAAACATCAAGCAACTAGAATCAAGAGAGAATCAAAGAGAAAGCATCAAACCTCAAGTTTGAGCATTTCAAGCCTATTTTCATTCAATATTTATTTTGCTTTCAAGAACATATATTGTGCTCAATTGTATTCATCTTTGAGTGTTCTTTTCTTTGTTCTAGAATTGTGCAAACATCTTACCTTGTGAGGTTTTCTTGTAAGTTTGCAAATTTGTAATCTTCTCTTTGAGAAAAAAGTATTCTCAAGAATTGGGGTATATTCTTGAGGGAGTTGTAAGGTTATCTCTTTGGCCTCAAAAGAAAGAACAAATTAGTGAATTTGTTGGAAAATCCTTAGTGTGGATAGCTAAGGTAGTGGACGTAGACTTTGGTTGATAAAGTCGAACCACTCTAAATCGCTATGCAATTTCTTTTAATTTTCTGCAAAAGCTTCCACCAAAATTTTAATTGCCAATTCACCCCCTCTTGGCTGATTCCGTCAATCGATTAACTCAACAATTGGCATCAGAGCCTAACTCATTTGAAGGTTTAATCGCCTCTTGAGTCGATTCGGGAAGAGTTATATCGATAATCAAAGTCATCAATGGCCTCCGCTTCAAACTTCGACTCCGGTCTCGATTCGATGCCCGTCAACAAGCCTCCTTTCTTCAATGGGGCTAACTATGCCTATTGGAAGAATAGAATGATGTATTTCATTCAAGCAAGTGACATGGGGGCATGAAATGTCGTAGTAGAAGTATACATCAAGCCTCTCACTCATCCAAGATTGTGGAGTGAAGGAGAGACAAAAATGTTCCAGCTCAACTCCAAAGCCATCCATATCATTTTTTGTGCTCTTGGACCAGAAGAATATGGAAGAGTTTCTTCTCGTACAACCTCCAAAGAAATATGGGACAAACTTTATGTCACTCATGAAGGTACCGATGAGGTAAAGAAATCTAAAATTAGTATTCTAACGCATAACTATGAAAATTTCAGGATGAAACCAAATGAAGATATCAAAGCTATGACAGATAGATTTTCAACGATTGTCAATGGTCTCAAATCATATGGAGAGATCATTTCAAATGAAAATCTTGTGAGGAAGTTAGTCTACTCCCTCCCAAAATAATGGCAATCAAAGAAGACGACAATCATAGAGTCTAAGGACCTAACATCCTTAACTCTTGAAGAGCTAATCGGTTCACTCCTCACCCATGAAATGATGCTTGAAGATGAGGTGGACCTTGATAAGATTGAAGAGACACCAAAGGAGAAGGAGAAGGAGAAGAAGAAAAATATTGGAGTTGCTCTCAAATCCACAAAAGATGAGAGTGATTCGGATGAAGATGATGATGACGAGGAAATGACATTGTTTGCCAAACGGTTCAGAAAAATGATGAGACCTTACCGAGGAAGAAAATTCAAACAAAATGAAGGCCTCAAAAATGAACCAAAAGAAAAGGACCCAATCATTTGCTATGAATGCAAAAAACCAGGGCATGTCAAATATGATTGCCCACAATTGAAGAGGAAGGGCCAATCGAAGAATAAACACAAGGCTCATGTGGCTACATGGAGCGATGAAGAAGGTTCCGATGAAGAGGAACAAGAAGTAGCAAACTTATGCTTGATGGCATTCGGGGAAGATTCTAAGGTAACCTTTAACTCATCTGATTTTGATGATTTATCTTATGATGATCTATTAGAGGAATATAATGGGTTGGCTTCGGATTATGAGAAATTGTTTTTAAAATATAAAAATGATGTTTCAAAATTGAAAAATGAAAATAAACTCATATCCAAAACCAACAATGATCTTGAAAGTAAAATCAAAGATTTGCAAATCAAACTAGAAGAGTTTGAAAAGAAAATTTTAGATTTGCAAAATTTACTTTCAAAGGTCAATGATGATCATCAAAAGAAAATTGACGATCTTAAAACTTCTTTTGATAAAGTTGGAACAAAACGTTTTGAAATTGGAGAAAATTCGAAATCCAACTTTGTTAGAAAAAGTTTTAAAAACTACAATCATAGAGGTCCCCAAAGAGCCTCTAATGGAAAAATCGTTAGAAGTATATGGGTTCCTAAAGAACTCATTACTACTAAAGATAAGGATATCCTACACAAATGGATACCTAAGGGGACTAGAATTTTGGAAACTAATGAATATGGACCCAAAAGAATTTGGGTACCAAAAATTAGAAATTAATCTATGTTTGTAGGAAAAGGAGCATTGCTACAAGGCACGAGAAACAAATTCAAACTCATGGTACCTTGATAGTGGATGCTCAAGACACATGACCGGAGACAAAAGCCGGTTCATTAAGCTTAACGCCAAAAATGGAGGAGAAGTGACTTTTGGTGATGATTCAAAAGGTCACATTGGAGGTATTGGTACTATTGGTAATACCTCTTCCATACAAATTAAAAATGTTTTATATGTGAATGGATTAAAGCATAATCTATTAAGTATTATTCAATTTTGTGATAAGGGATTCAATGTCATGTTTGATATTAATGGTTGTAAAGTCATTGACATTGCATCTGATCAGATTATGCTTGTTGATCATAGAATAGGAAACATATACATGGTGCATTTAGATTCTATTGATATGACTAATTTGTGCCTAGTTGCTAAGGATGAACATGATAGTTGGTTATGGCATAGGAGACTAGGACATGCTAGTATGAGTGTTTTACAACGGCTAATTCAAGGTGATTTAGTTTGAGGGTTGCCTAAGCTTAAATTTGATAATGATAAAATCTAGGATGCTTGTGCTAAAGGAAAACAAAAGCGAGTTTCTTTTAAATCCATTAATGACGTATCAACTAGTAGAGTATTACAATTGATCCATGTAGATCTTTTTGGGCCAACTAGGACTACTAGCTTGGGTGGAAAACAATATGCATTTGTCTTGGTAGATGACTATTCTAGATATAATTGGGTTCTATTTTTAAGTACTAAAGATGAAGCATTAGAACAGTTCATCACATTTTCAAAAATAATCCAAAATGAAAAAGGTTACTCTATAACTAGTGTTAGGAGTGATCATGGTACTGAATTTGAAAATCTTGGATTTATTGAGTTTTGTAATTCTAATGGTATTAGTCATAATTTTTCAGCACCTAGAACCCCTCAACAAAATGGAGTTGTTGAGAGGAAAAATCAAACTTTAGAAGAAATGGCTAGAACCATGCTTTGTGAAAATAATTTGCCAAAATATTTTTGGGCGGAAGCCACAAATACCGCTTGTTATGTTGTTAATCGAGTAATGATTAGGCCAATTTTAAAGAAAACTCCATATGAAATTTTCAAAAATAAAAAGCCAAACATTAGCTATTTTCATCCTTTTGGATGTAAATGTTTTGTTTTAAACAACAGTAAAGAAAACCTTGGCAAATTTGATGCTAAAAGTGATGAAGGAATTTTTCTGGGTTATTCCTTAAATTCTAAAGCTTATCGAGTATTTAATAAAAGAACTTTAGTTTTAGAAGAGTCTATACATGTTGTTTTCGATGATAATCCCCTTCCAAGGAAGGATTCTTGTGTGAATGATGATGTAGATATTATAAATACAAATGACGTTAGACATGAAGTTGGAGAACTATCATCAAATGAAGAAACAAAAAATGAGGAAACTCATGATCCTCTTGAGAATCCAACCATTGAAGAAAGGGAAGTATCTTATCCAAGAGAGTACAACTATGTCAAGGGTGGTGAGATTATAGGTGATCCATCCAAAGGGGTAACAACTCGATCTTCTCTTAGAAATATTTGTAATTATGTTGCATTTATTTCATGCATTGAGCCTAATAATATTAAAGAAGCATTAAATGATGAATATTGGATTATGGCTATGCAAGAATAATTAAATC